ATAACTGATAAAACATTGAGCATTTGTAAAATGGGAAAGGAATTCTTATTTTGAAAGGTAGACTTTTCTCACTATACCACAGATGTTTTTTCTTATTCTCCCTGTTCTATGACATTCCAGGTATTTGTTCGTCAAAAGGACAGAACAGCAGGMCTTCAAGCAGACGTTCGCCTGGCTAAAATGACACTAATCGATCTAGCAGGTTCTGAACGAGCTATTGTCACTTCAAATCGTGGGGCACGCTTCCGTGAAGGTGCCAACATTAACAAGTCTCTTTTGGCTCTGGGTAACTGTATTAATGCCTTGGCTGATAAAGAGGTCAGTTTGCATCCTCAAGCTATGTCACTCTACATTATTACAGTCACCGAACGTCTCAGGGTGGGGTGGGGGTACTTGATCCCAACTTTAGTGGGGGGGTGCCGCACGACCCTCAAAACCCTTACCCTGTCCCAGACCAATTTTTTTGATTTTACTTACCCTAACCCAGACTAAAGGTACATTATTTTAGCGCTGAAAGCGTGGCCTAGCAGATATGATCACAGGCAAAACTCCACCCTACCCCAGACAATGAGACTATACCCTATCCTAGACAAAAAACTACCCTATCCCAAACAAATGGGCAAAAAATACCCTATTCCAGACTTGGACCTCCGAAAAAGACCATATCGAGAAGCAAATACCCAAATATCAAATTTAGGGGACGGGTGGAGTACCCTCAAACATTGAAAATAATAATCATTTATAAAATTTAGGATTCGATAAATGATTTTAAAAGTTCAAACATTCATTTGAATAATTGAATGTTTGTTTGAAGATAGCAATCTTCTGAATATTCACCTGTGACGTTCTTTGATTGTAAATAAATATATGAATAGTAATGCGTTGTAACGAGGGATTATTCTTGTTTCTAGAACAAATCAGGCCACATTCCCTACCGTGACAGCAAACTCACCCGTCTTCTGAAAGACTCTCTTGGGGGAAACTGCAGGACAGTAATGATTGCAGCCATCAGGTAAATAGCATTCCCCAATCACCACTCCCTCCCTTAAAGTATTTTTGGTCACACAGCAGTCCATGTAAGGAAGAGGAGGAAAAGAAACTAAGAGCTTGTTGACTGACACTGTCCACTCAAAATTTCAGTTATGGGCTATCAGCTCGTAGTCCACGAGGCCGAGAGATCTAATTGTTTTAGTATTACCATACTAGTTGGACAAAAATGAATGAAATATATAAATAACCAGTAAATGTTTTTATTGCTAAAAATACGCAAAACATTGTCGGTTTTTTCTAGTCGAGGACTATTGAAAATAGACCCAGAGTAGCGTAGCCAATCAGAACGAAGGATTTGCAATAGTCCACTAGTATGGTAATACTAAAGAAGCATAGTGCATTGAGAACCTTGGAATGATTTTCTAATTTTGAACCAATTAGAAAGCAATTTTCAAAAGCAGATCATTTGTAAAACAAAACAAAAGACCGTGATAGAAGAAAGACCAGGTGATCGCTTTATAGAGGCTGTTCGGTTATTAGAGGGCCTCTTATAAACGACCAAGAAGCGACCACTTAGAGGACGGTGACTGCTAGATAGACAACCGCTAACAGAGGTTCAACTATTCTTGTTTAGTCCGTCAAGTCTAAGCTACGAGGATACGTACAATACTCTGAAGTATGCTGACCGGGCGAAGAGCATCAAAGTCAAACTATCCAAGAATATTGTCAGTGTAGATTGGCATGTCAGTCGATATGCAAAGANTCAAATCGTGGGGCACGCTTCCGTGAAGGTGCCAACATTAACAAGTCTCTTTTGGCTCTGGGTAACTGTATTAATGCCTTGGCTGATAAAGAGGTCAGTTTGCATCCTCAAGCTATGTCACTATACATTATTACAGTCACCGAACGTCTCAGGGTGGGGTGGGGGTACTTGATCCCAACTTTAGTGGGGGTGTGCCCCACAACCCTCAAAACCCTTACCCTATCCCAGACCAATTTTTGTGATTTTACATACCCTACCCCAGACTGAAGGTACAAAGGTACATTATTTTAGCGCTGAAAGCGTGGCCGTGATCACAGACAAAACTCCACCCTACCCCAGACAATGAGACTATACCCTATCTTAGACAAAAAACTACCCTAATCCAGACAAATGGGCAAAAAATGATACCCTATTCCAGACTTGGACCTCCAAAAAAGACTATATCGAGAGGCAAATACCCAAATAGCAAATTTAGGGGTGGAGTACCCTCAAACATTGAAAATAATAATCATTTGTAAACTTTAGGATTTGATTATGATTATACATGTAAAAGTTCAAACATTCATTTGAATAATTGAATGTTGATTTGAAGATAGCAATCTTCTGAATGTTCACCGGTGACGTTCTTTGATTGTAATGTGTTGTAACGAGGGATTATTCTTGTTTCTAGAACAAATCAGGCCACATTCCTTACCGTGACAGCAAACTCACCCGGCTCTTGAAAGACTCTCTTGGGGGAAACTGCAGGACAGTAATGATTGCAGCCATCAGGTAAATATCATTCCCCAATCACCTCTCCCTCCCTTAAAGTATTTTTGGTCACACAGCAGTCCTCTGAGGGAAAAGGAGTAAAAGAAACTAAGAGCTTGTTGACTGACACTGTCCACTCAAAAATTCAGTTTATTTTTCAAATCTTTTTATAAACGGACATGTTTTTAGCCTAAAAGACGCTAGAGCTTTAGTTCCCAGGACATCGTGTCCGTCTGCTAGTATGCCATCTTTTGCTTTTTGAGAAATAATCAGTCAGCTTTCTAGGAAAGCGCTGCAAAACCAAACTGAAAAAGACTAGTAGTGAGAGACTATCTTTGATACAGAAGCATAGTGCAAACTGAGAACCTTGGCGTGATTTTCTACATACGAAAAATCACTATTTTTTAAACTATTTTGAACGAATTGGAAAGCAATTTTCAAAAGCAGATCATTTGTAAAACAAAACAAAAGACCGTTATAAGGTTCTAAGATAAAAGAAACACCAAGTGATCGCTTTATAGAGGCTGTTCGGTTATTAGAGGGCCTCTTATAAACGGCCAAGAAGCGACCACTTGGAGTAGGGTGACTGCTAGATAGACGACCGCTAACAGAGGTTCAACTATTCTTGTTTAGTCCGTCGAGTCTTAGCTACGAGGATACGTACAATACTCTGAAGTATGCTGACCGGGCGAAGAGCATYAAAGTCAAACTATCCAAGAATATTGTCAGTGTAGATTGGCATGTCAGTCGATATGCAAAGATAGTCGATGAACTGAGGACAGAGGTGAGAATCTGCGATATTGTTCATTCTCGTAATAGATTTCTAAACCTTTTACATCACAACATTGTGCATTGTGGGATCAGTTTCTAGAGAAAACAAAAGAAATCCTTCATGTTCTGCCCCCAAAATATCCTACAATGCATTGCGTATAACGGTACATGACGTAAAAGCGTCAGATGTCTATTCGGATTAATGAGGTATGAGTCACTGAGGTCGGTCATGGGCTGGGTCTTTTACGTCCTGAGCTAGTAGTTTGGCGTTTCCAAATGCACGCGATAGTATTGAATATGCAGTTGGGAGTAAGGCCTCCATCTAACGTCAATGTCCGAGACTTGAAAGTGATGATCAGCCATTTAGGTTTTGTTTTCTCAAACCGGTTTTTAGTGAAATTCCTCCAGCACGGTAAACCGACGATCTACCAACTGAGGCAACTACGCGGTTGAATTCAATGCCTTGGGAACATCGTGCTATCTTTGTTCTTGTTTTATTCTTGTATGAAATTGGTTGATTATCTACTGTTTATTTATTCTGCATTTAGTCACTTTTCATCCACTCATTACATTCCCATTTTTTTTTCATTTAGGTTGCAGAGCTGAAGGACCAAATCAAGCGATATGAGGAGGGCGAGATTGTCAAACAAACACCACTGAGAAATGACAAAAAGAATGAAATTCAAAAGTATGAAAAGTTGTTAAATTCTTCTTCTAGGAACTAAAATGTTCTCCTTCTTGTTCATGTATTCCATATGTCGGTGATCTACAGGGGCGGATCCAGGATTTTCCTCAGGGAGGGGTACGGGGCTCTCAGGAGGGGGTGCACCCATAAAAAATCATTACCATGAAGATACAAAATAAGGAAAGTACTGAAGGATACGGATCTCAAGGCGGGGGGTGTTCCTCTTCTCTGCCTCAGGCCTTTCGTCTTCACAATATTTTGTGCTTCTTTTATTTCTTCTTTTATGACTTAAACCATCCACCATTCCTTGCAGCTTGAAAGAATCGCTGAAGAACATCACAAACGAGAGAATCGSCATCAAGAAAGATGTTGTCGACATCGAGGCAGCGCAGCGCGACTTGTTGTTCAAATCTTACAAAAAGGTATTTGGCCTTTTCAGAACCATATCTCACTTAATAGAACTATCTGCAAGAATCCACTTTAAACTAGCTAAAGATGTTATGCATTAATACCGCGAAACCAATCTAAAATTTCTAAGAAACTATCAAACAAAAAACAACAAAGAAAACGAACGAACTAGTCTCTTTTCCGCGGTGTTTTACCATGTAAAATATTAGATTGTAACTTGAGTTTTTATTTCTAGGAACGCAACCTTGAGAGAGTTCATCTTTTGTCCATCGATGGAGACCAACGAGAAAAGGTACGTTATTAAATGCCTTGCTTATCRGTTTCCTCAACTTTAAGACTATTTTTGGTATCCTTTTATTTATTTTATTCGCTTTCATTCACATTTTTGATTCTTTGTCTATTTTTTATTCGTTTTATTTTTACCATCAATTCTTTGAAGGCTGCTGCCAAAACCCAGAAATGTCTTTCCGTCACGAGAACAAAGAAAAAGAAATTAGARACGAGAGTCAGAGAAACTGAACAAAAATTCCAGAGTAACACCCAGTCCTTCGACCGCGTCAAGCAGGAAATGACGTCACTAGCATCGTCAAGCAAAGAACTCGAAAATGACGTTATAAACTACCAATCACAYTTAAGGGCGGAGCTGGAATGTGCTGAACTTCGCAGACAATGTCGATATTTTACTAAATATACACAAGCACAAGAGAAAGATGCTCAGGCTACGGAGAGGTATTTAAAATTCTGTTTTTTTTTATTGGGCTTCCTTTGGTCGAAAAGGACTAGAAATACATGTTTGTTACACTTCCAGTAACGCTCATTCTCTTTAATCCACAGGCTTTTAATCAGGGTTTTGTCAGCTTACAAAAACCAGTTTCTTCTACTCAAAGAATCTGGTCTCGCAACGCCTGACATTGATGAAGAATACAACAACATCGTTGACATGGTTACGGGAGGCCGCGAGGTATCATGGGCCGACCAGAGTGTCATGGAGAACGACCTCAATATGTCGGCGATGCACACCGTCAATGATGGTATGTAATAATGATTAATAATTAATTGATAATTAATAATTAATCAATTGGTAATCAATTAATGGTATGTAATAATAGTGTCTGCAGTAGTTAAGAAAGTATATGTATTTTAGTGTTTTCCTTCCGTCAATTAAAACTCCGAACTGCTTTCGTTGTTTCGCAAAAGCCGAACAAACCCCGAACATTCATAGATGAGATTCAAAGTTGCCGTTGAATGTTCGGAGTTCTATCGGCTTTATGGAAAGTGTCTTTGCTGACTTTCGGAGGTTTTTGATTGAAGGCAGTAAAAAAACCCTGTAAATTGCGGTCAGCGTTCGACAGTTGCAGTTCGCATATTGATTAATGAAATCTTCCGATAATAATGATAGTGTTAAACTTATATAGCGCTTGTATAGCTTTTTCTAAGCGATAAATGATTCCAAATAATTTGATTCCAAATTATTTTTGATTTTGTTTTAGAAACTGTTCTTATTTCAACAAACTTCAATACACCGTCCAGTCTAGCTGTCACCTCTATCTTGAAGCAGAGATCGTCACGAAAATCCAATTCAACTCCAGTCCACTGCGAACCTCCACGGACACCATCCCAACCCATCGCCCTTAGCAACGCAAGTTCTTTAGGAATGCAGGAATCACGTGCATCCCTTCTCAAGAAATTCGACGAGACCACGCCYAGTAAGCCTTCATGGGCCAATGAAACGTTTACACTGGAGAACGGCCCTTGTAACGCAACTTTCGATCTTGGTAGTCACGCAACGCCTCTTCGTGACATAAATAAGGCGACTCCGACTGGTAAGGTGGCTTGGATGGAGCCTCCCACAAGGGGAACACCATCGGTTGTTTCTGGCATTTCAGGGGAATTGAGTATTTCTTCGTATCTACCGGAAGCTAACACGCCAAAGGTGAGAATGTTTGAGATATAACGCGTGGTCTGATTGGCCAGATCATGAAATATTTGAGATATGACCTGTGCTTTGATTAGCTGGTTTGCACCAGTTCGTGCAAGAGACAGACTGAATAAATGAAAACTTGTTTTATCTAAATATGCTTCTTGGGTATCGATTAGGACGTGCCCTGGGAATTTTAATATTCTATTGAAATTCTTATTATTCTACAGAGAGTTTTACCAGCTGAGCTGCTGACGCCACTAAGAGATCTGTCGGTCAACAAGCGAAAAACGGATACGCGTCCCATTACGTACGATACGCCCAACAAGCAACCGAAAAGTAAGCCACCAATTCATTCAAATCATTTTTAACTTATCACTTTGGTATTTCTCGTACGTTGAACAGAGTTTGACGTTAAAAGCTAATGATTGGCTTTATTGGTCTCTTGAAAATGAAGGCGGATATGAAAATTATTCACTCATCGAAAACTAAAGTACATGCACGGGGAAGGGTTATGGAGGACTAGGTTGGGTGGGAAAGGACGTTACCCTTAGACCCGGTTCATACGTCTTGCTATCGTCGAGCCGAACCAAATAGTCAATTGGTGTCGACCCAAATATATTTGGTACGGCGTTGATTCATACGTCAAACCAAATACAGTCAAAAGCATAAGAAAAGGTCCGATAACATGTAATTTACATCCATAACTCAATTGATTCAAACGTCGAGCCGTTCATGTGCTAAATTCAAACTATTTGGTTCGCCGCGACGCTGGCTCGACATATGAACCGGGCCTAAGGTACCATACATGTTCTTTGTAATTCGGTAAGAAATGTTGTGAAATGTATCTCGTTTTATTTAGTTGCAGAACTAGCTCGCAAGAACGAAGAAAAACCTCAGCTAGGCATGTTACCGATAAGGTGAGTTCCCATAGACTACCGGCGTACAGTGCGGTCGTGTTTTAGATTTTCATATGTGGGTGAGTTTACTAAATGTCCACTCGTAATCTGTGATCATCCGTTGGTTTTAAGATGGAATCTCACAATATCTTCATTCATAGAGCATAAAGGGATAATAAAGAGTAAATTTTTGCTTATAGAGCAGAGTCACTTGAACCATGAAATAGAAACTAAATACTTAGTTACTAATAGACACTATTTAGACACTATCACTGAACCAGAACAGTACAAAGAGATTACTTTGATTGTTAAAGTGGACTCTTGGGTATTGCTTATTGGATCAAATCAACTGTTCTGGTTCAGTGCTAACGACTATTAGGAACTAATAGTCCCTATTAGTTAGTACTTTTTAGTTCTTATTTCATGGTTCATGTGACTCTGCTCTATTACAATGTGTTTTTATTTTTAAACATATAAACAAAGCTCGAAAGGGATGCTGGTGGA